CACACCAGCTTTCTCTTCCATGGCTTGGATGGCCCTGTCACTGGCCCACTGGCTGTGACTGATGCCGGCAAAGTACCTGTGTATGTATCAATGCCTGGGACATAGCAAATGCTCAGATAATTGTTACCTTCCAAACAACCATATTATTATCGTTGTCTTTGTCATTGTTCCAATTCCCAGACATTGTCTTTCTCCACCCATCCATTTTAATCAGTTGTAGTTCATCTTCACATGGAAAACTAATCCTGTCCTCTGATCATTTCAATAATGTTCTCTGGCCCCTTCTCAAATTTTCTTCCACCATTTCTGAATAGAGGAAAGGAAGGGAAGCCATAATTGAATGGTATAGCTTCCATGGCATAGATGTTTTCTCTTTTCAGACCTTGGCTGGAGAGGAGGGAATCCGCAGAAATATCAGTTGGTGGGGGGAGGGGGTAGGTGGGAGGAAATCATTGTTTTCAGCTGAAATAACATCAGTGCACAGATTCTTTTCTGAAGGAGTGAGGAGACCAAGCTACTGGAGGAAAGAATTTGGTTTTGTTGCACATTTGAAAGGAAAGCTGGATGAGAGGGCCGAGAGGGGGAAAAAGGGAGGGGGGTGGGGTTCAGGCTGTCGCATCTGAAGGCCACTGAAAGTTTCAGGTCCAAACAGAGCCACTGGAGGTAAAATAGCGCCTTCCCAATCCCCCTAAAGTCCCCGCTTGTCCCCAGAGAAAATGAGCAGGAAATTAGACAGAGGAACTCATTTTGCTGACCGAGAAAAATGCAGCTGATTCAAATCTGAAATGGAAAGGCCGAGATGATAAACCCCCTCCCTAACAAATCCGGGTTAAAATCAGGATGTGGCCCTTTCCTTCTCTCACCAGCTATTTTGGGTTATCTTTGCTGAAGGCAGATGTAATTGTTAAATGTGCAGATGTTACATTTAGTTCTTCCCATCTTGCATGTGTATCTTTTTGCCTTTTTTTTTTTTTTTCTTTTGGGAGAAACAAGTTTAATTAAGGATGACACACAGTTTCTTTCCTCAGGCCTATTTGGACTGGTTATAATATTTCTTTCTGTTTGGGGGTGGGGGGACTCGTACCTGAATATTTCTCTTACTTCTCTTCAGAGTTCAGGGTTCCAGCAGATGGCTCAGTGAACATGAGCCATCCTTTCTTTCTTAGAAGAAAGAAATCAAGGTGCCAAGGGAACACTTCGGCACTTAGAAAGGAAAGGCTTACGGGTGAAGGTAGGGCTCAAAGACCGTTAGCCTCAACAGGGTAAGAGGGACAGGAGAGGCAATTAGGGAACAGGGCTTTGGTTCCAAGGCGGATACTTACCTCTTATGGACAGAATGGTTTGTGCCCTTCCAAAGTCACACGTGGAAATCTTAAACTCCCAGTGTGATGGTATTTGAAGGTGGGGCCTTTAGGAGGTGACTAGGTCATGTGGGTGAAGCCTCATGACAAAGATCCGGGCATTGTCTGCGTGTGCAAGGAGAACACAGCTCCTATAGACCGGGAAGCAGGGTCTCATCACACATTGAATCTGCCTGCAACCTTGATCTTGGACTTCCAACCTCCAAAACCGTGACAAATAAATATCTGTTGTTTATAAAGCATGCAGGCTGTGGGATTCTTGTGACAGCAGCCCAGAGGGACTAGGCACCACCTTAGCAGAATAATAACTCCCTTTTATTGAGTTACACGTCAGACACTATTTTAAGTGCTTGCCATGCATTCTCTCCTTGAGTTCTCGGAACTTCTGTAAGGTGGTATTATTGCTGACACTGGTGGGAAAACCAGCCAAGGTTAGAGAATTAAGTCACTCACTCCGTTAGCAGGTAGGGGAGAGTTAGAACGACAGTGCTGGCCGGCCTAATTCTAGACAAGCTCCCGACTACCCAGCCTCTTCCCCCCCTTTTCTCCCTTTCCCCCTTTCCAACTCCCCTAGTTTCCCCTTAGGGACAAGGGCGGTTCCAGTGGGTCTAACTCCAATCCAGCACCGGGTCGGGTCGCGTGACCGAGCCCTCAGAATGAATGCAGGGCTTCCGTAGAGAGCTGTCTGCCTTTATACATTGGACAGGTGTGAAACTATTTGTTCTTATAGGAAAGACTGTCCGAGGGGGACACTGATAGTTAGGGAGACCCGAAGTGCAAGAACCATGGAGAAATAGAGGTGAAACGCTGATGACAAGTGTGAACCTCGCAGCAAAACGAGGCTGACGCAGGAACACGTGAGGGTTCAGCAACCACAGGGGCCAACGGGGTCCGGTATGTGTCAGCCAGACTGAGCTGAGCATCTGTTCCTTATGCCCAAACATAAGCGATAGGTTCACGCTGTCCAAATGATCTTCAGCTTTCTCTTTGGGCTCTTCTTGGGCACTGGCATTTCCTTCCCACCAAAAAATATGCATATACACCCTGTAACAACACACACACACACACACACACACACACACACAATTGGTTATCAAACACATGGGCTTGAACTGTGAGGGTCCACATATATACTGATTTTTTTTCAATACACTGCAGCATTGTGAATGTATTTTCTCTTCCCCTATGTTCTCCTAACATCTTTCCTCTAGCTTACTTTATTGTAAGAATTCAGTACTTAACGCAGAGAACATACAAGATATGTGTTACTTGACTGTGTGATCCGTAAAGCTTCTGGTCAACCGTAGGCTCTTAGTCGTTGAGGTTTTGGAGTCAGAAGTCATACGTGGATTTTCAATCGCATGAGGGTTTGGTGCCTCTAATGTCCATGCTGTTCAAGGGTTAAGTGTATATGTGGCTACAGAGAGTGTCCCTTAAAATATAAGGAGGGGCCTCTGGATGCCCAGATGATGGGAGCTGTCTGATTGCCACAAGAATTTTTCAGGAACATAGCATCATCTTGAATCAAACTGAGGTTTTTTTTTGTTTGTTTGTTTTTGTTTTTGTTTTTGTTTTTTTTTCAGGGAAGTTTATTGAGAAGAAATGTTGAGAATGCTTTATAGTGAATTTGAAACAGCAACGACTCTGTTAATGAGAAAATGAGGTATACCTCAAGTTCTTTGTTCGTGTGCCCTCCACACTTGCCCTCCAAGCAGGCACCCGCAGAGGTGGTCGGCCCCAGAGAGTTTGCCTCAGGATGGCCCACCTCCCCCTTGATGCCTCTGGCTTCCTGGGACAGCAGTTTCAAGCTTCATCTTCATTCTTGTGTTCGGCCAGCAAGTCATGTAGCAATAACGATTCCGGCATTTCTCCTATCAAGACGGAGCCAGTGAAAAACTTTCTCAGCTTGCAGGAGAAGAACTCATAGCAAAATTTAAGCCCATGGCAGGACACTAAGGACACACACACTTTGGGGCAGAGAAACACTCTCTTTCCCTTTCAAGTCAATCCTTGAGCACAGCTGCTGTGTGTTTGTGTGTACTCCGTCATAGCTGGGGCCAAACCTGTACATGGAAATCCCTGTTTCATCCAAACCCATAGGTCTGAACCTCTCTCTCTCTCTCTCTCTCTCACACACACACACACATTGTCAATGAATTCTAAGAAGATAACAAAGAACGGGAAGGGGAAAAGAACAGATGAATTGCAGAAAAATGAAAAGTGAGCTAGTTTGGGATCCCTTGTCCTTGCCTCTGGAAGGCTCTGGCCACTGGCCTGAGCTGTTGGAACACGTGAGTACTCAGAACTTCAGCATGGCCTTTACTCCACACATAAGGATGCTTTTGGGAAGGGGAGCAGGGGAATGTCTCTCTAGAGGGAACGGCAGAGGGTCAGAAATTCAGTCTGCTGTTTGTGTACATAACAGGATCAGCCCCGTGTGTGTTTAGAGATCTGCTCCCTGGCCGGGCATAACCACAGTATGTCTTCTTTCTCAAATGTTAATGGGTGTAAGTAAGGACACTGCTATAATTTTGTTTCTCCATAACCCAAAAACTTCAGATGCTGCTTTTAAAGTTTTAATTCACCAGACATTTACAGCCTGCTATTCTGGGTAGTTTAATTATGTACAGATGGTAATTAATAGCAATGAACACTTTAAAAATCTGGATTCTTCCCCTTTTAATCTCTAACATCGTGGCCCTTTTGTGGATATCTAAGACCTACAAATGCTGAAGTCAACCCAGTCCCCTGACACCAGCCCCCCAGTAGGAGCAAGAGGGTCAGATGTCGGGCCCAGGGACACTGGGAGGATCAGAGTGGGGAGAGGGGCATGGGATGGTGTCAGGGCTGTGGAGCCCCCTGGGTGATTCTGCACATCCTGGGACAGAAAAAGACGGGGCTTCCAGAATGGCTCTGCTTATTTACGGAGGCCCTGGAAGGTGTTTTTGAATGCAAATGAATGTGTCTGCTGATTGACATGGCTTTTTAATAATTCAGGGGACCATAGCTCCACACTGTCTGTTTTGCTCCCTGGAGTAGCCTCGGGGCTGAGCATAGAGCCCAGCAAGTAAGTGTTCAGCAGGTGCATATTGAGAATAATGAATGCAGAAGTGAGAGCCATAGCATGCTGAGGCCAGGGGCAGCCATGCTTGGGGGACGATGCTATAATGAGGTTCGGCCAGGCAGGATTTGAAGGTCACTCTTGGTAAGCTTTTATCTTCAACTTGGCCTTGTAGCCAAAGTGCCTGGAGTTTGCTCAGGAGAAGGAGGAGGACAAGGGACACCTTTGGCCAGCTCTCGAATTCCAGCCAGGCGGTCAACCTTCTCAATCTCTTTTATTTTATTTCTTTTCTTTTCTTTTATTTATTTCTATGAGAGAGAGAGAGGATGAGAAGGGAGAGGGTCAGAGGGAGAAGCAGACTCCCCACCGAGCAGGAAACCCAATGCAGGACTCGATCCCGGGACTCCGGGATCATGACCTGAGCCGAAGGCAGTCGCTTCACCAAGAGCCACCCAGGTACCCAGGCTTCTTGATCTCTTAGAACTACTTATGCTTCGCCAGCACCTGGCACTTTTTCTGGAGGAGATCACCTTGTAACTACGGCATTGCACTGAGACTTTGAACAGACCATGAGGAACCACTGTGGACCAGCTTTCTTTATTTGTGGTCACAGGGGAAATACTCCTGAGGAGCTGAGAAGCAGGTGAGTTTGGCCCCGGGGAGGAGGGCAGGCCCACAGGATGACATCGTGACTACCAGGAGGTGACCTAGAAGCATGTAGGCACGTGGAGTCTGAGGACGTCCGGTCCGGGGGCTAGAACCTGTGCCTGCCTCTCCGTCATCGACTGGTTTTTCTTACAGAACAGGTTCAACTTCAGTGGCTTGCCGTTCCCAGCAGACACACCATGCCCCAAGTTTCAGCTGCTCAGGAAGAAATGACGGTGGCATTGGCGCAGGCCACGGTGGAACCGTCTCCATTATACAGTTCCAGCAAAACCTGGTATTCTCCCTAGAAGGGATGCAGGGAAAGCATGAGATGTGTGATTCACAAAGCAATCCATCATTCCGCCGGTGGTCAGCAAGCGCCTCCTAGGAGCCAGCCCTGGTTTAGACACTGGGGATAAAGTAGAACCAGGCAAACCAAATTCACTTCGAGGTGCTTAAGGGCTCCCTGGGACAGACAGACCATGTCTCCGATGCTTCACTATGGGCACTCTGCCTATTCTGGTGCTGGGGACAGAACACAGGCAAGGAAGGGGAGAGGCAGTGGCACTGGGCTGGGCAGGGCAGGGAGGGGCTGGGCTAGTGCCGGTGGGCAGTTTTAGGCACGGTGGTTCAAGCAGGTTGAGCTGCAAAGGGGATCATTGGGCAAAGACCTGCAGAAGATGGGGGGCACCCCCGCTGCTCTGAGGGCTGGCACTCTGTGTGTGAGAAACAGGGAGGACCCCCACGGGACTGCTGGGAGAGGGAAGCACAGGAGGAGAGAGAGGTCATGAGTCAGGGATGGCCTCTCTGGCCATGATGAGGATGCTGGCTTCCACTCTGACAGGGACACAGGTCATGAAAGCACTTCCCCAGGAGACTGGCCTGATCACAATTGTAGGGTAATAGGATCCTTCCAGCCGCCCACAGAGCCTGTAGGGGCAGAGAGTGGAAGCCCTTAAAACCAGGTGGGAGACTACCCAGGCTGGAGCGGATGGCAGAGATGAGGAGAGGAATCCAGACTGGATTCTGGATAGATTTTGAAGAAAGAGCCCGTAATGCTTTACCAGGAAAACTCATGCAGGTGGCAGAGAAAGAGAGGGGCAGAGGGTGACGCCAAAGATCCTGGTCTGAGCCACTGGAACGATCAAGTGCCATTTGCTGAGACAGAGAAGGCCTCTCGGGGATCAAAATTCAACGGCACGAAATCAGAATGCTCTATGAGAGGAAGTATGGCCACATTTTAGGGCTCTTTTCTGGCAGTGACACTCCACAGAGGACTCTCTTCGTCCGTGGTTAGTGGTTGGGCTGAATGTGAAATTGCAGAAAAGCCCGTGTGTCTGTTCAGTGCCAAAGTTCCACCCCAGGCCCCAGAGGCCACGTGGTGAGGACATATCTGTAGGCTCACCAGTCCGGAAAGAGATGCTCTGGGCCATGGGAGGTGGTGGTAAGCAGGGCAAAGGGCCCAAGAGGGAAGGATCCCAAGAGATTCCTGGCACATCTTTGAAGTGCCCATGGCCCAAAGAAGAAAAGGGGTTTAATCTGTATACGGCCGGAGGGAAGGAATAAATCAGACCACTGGATGGAGGTTGTAGGAGAGGCAGTTTTTCTTGGAGAAGAATAACTTTCTAGCAATTAGCAGAGGTCCAGGAGCGAGCGGGTTCCCCAACAATGGAAGCTGCGTTTGCCAGGGCCAGCCTGTTCTCTGGATGGCGGCTGAGGCGAGAGGGCTGCTTGGAGCGTCCCCTAGGGCAGTGTTCAGCTTGAGCATCTGTGACAGCCTAGGCTCCCCTGAGGCTGCCCGCCCAGATATGAGCATCTGTGATTTCAGAAGCAGCGCAGGGCTTTAACCAAAGCAGCGTGGAAGTTAGAGAACTCAGTATGAGTAAAGAGCAGTTCAGACGTGCACCTGCTCGTGTCCCCCTCGCCATCACCTTACGTTTCGTGTCCATGTGACTTCAAGCGCACGCACACCCTCCAATTCGAAAAGCAAATGAATTTTTCACTATAGCCTTATAAAGCCTAAGAAAAGATGTATTTGCAGGAAGGTTTCTAGATCATGACTCCCATACTTACATTCCGTACACGCACACATACCTACCTATGTACAAGATACGCAGACTCTGGTTTAGAATGCAAGAGAATTTGGGTAACTGTGCTCACCCGCAGGAAAGTGGAGGGACATGCTAGGAGGACGGGGAGGAACAGACTAGGGACAAGGGACAGAGAGTGGCAGACTCTCCACTGTTGAGGAGAGCGCCGCATGTATGGGTCAGAATTTACAGTTGTATCCTTGGCGTTTAGGCAGATTAGGCTCTACCTACAAGTGATTGTCCACACATTTTAGAAGCCCAAAGGGTCTCTAAATTCTAATTCAGAAAACAGCAGTCCTAGAGATGCACGGCTCCAGGCAGGACTTCAGTCAGAGCCAAGGGACCGGCTGTGTTAAAAAGAAAGTAACACCAAGACACTGCTGAGCAAGATTGACTGCTGAGTGGAAAAGTTTCCAGCCAAGCAGGGATGGAATTAGCACAGAGCCCATCTCTGGGGGATTTGGTGGGAGGAGGGGATCCGGGGCAGGTCTTTTAAAACCAGAAGGCTTCACACTGTCTCTGTCCCATATTAGGAAGCAAAGTCTCTGAGTATTGCTGGCTGGCTGTCAGCCAAGGAAGCTGGGCCGGCTGCACTGGTTCTCAGCCAGCGTGGGAGCTCACGTTGAGATTAAGGCGGGCGGCGGCCTCTCCAGCGTACGTGACAGGTTGCATGTGTCCCACTTGGGTTATGTGCCCTGTCAGTTTCGGCTAGGTGTCAGCAGGCTGGGGGTAGTCAGGGCTGGTCAGGTTTCTGCTTCCGAACCCTAAACCTCAGAAGGGGAAGAGGACCCATGCTTCCTTAAGCAACCATGCCTACGGCGGGGACACCTGAGCCTGATTTGGCCCTTACACTGGGCAACATCTCGGAGCACCATCATTGGTTGAAGAATGCAGGTCCTGCACTCACCCAAGTGTCCTAGGGGAATGCAGTAAAACTTCTTTTACATCTCTGCCAGATTTTCTTTCAAAGGGATTCTGTGCCTTTAAGAAGTTCTTTTCCCTCCTATTTCATAGCAACTCCTAAAGAGCACTGTTTTTATTTTAAGCCAACAATGCAAGATGAAAATCAATTATTTGCAAATTTCAAGTCAATCTCCAGTGGAAGGGGGGATGGGAAGATTTGGAAGGAAAATAAGGAAGGAAAAAGAATTCCAAATAACAAAGATTTCAAGAAAAAACTAGCTGGGAGAATTTTGGTCCTACATTCTAGAAGGTAAGGAAGTATTTTTTTTACTGAAAAGTCTGCTGAGAAGATTAGAGAACCCTGGAGGGGAAGGGGAAGCTGGAAACTTCCCATCTGCAAGAGCAACACTAGAGAATGTTCTAGACATAAAGGCTTGCACCTGAGGAACTCAGAGACTGTAACAAAAAGGAAACACACACACACACACACACACACACACACACACACACACACACACAAGAAATGAAACAAAGTTAAACAAATTCATTATGCCGAAGGAGAACCTTTCGCAGAGTCAGGCACTGTTTTGTTTTTTTGTTTTGTTTTGTTTTGTTTTGTTTTGTTTTGAAAACTGAGAGGAAGAAGTTGAAACAGAAAACACAGTTAATACTTCTTTGTGATTCCTTTTATGATAGCCCATGAGATTGTCTCAGGAGTAGCATATTGCAAATGTATTGCTTATGTCACAGGTGCTTAAATTCAGCCATTTAAGAAGGTCACATTATTTTGCCTAAAAAAGAGTTAGTCAAAAACTCTACCTTTAGCTATGAGACTTGCCAGTGAATGGTCCAGGTGGGGACATTTTATTCACCCATGGCAGCCACGAGCAATAATGTAAGGCCGGAATCTGAGAGCCTATAAGCCGTCATGGTGGTTTGCATGTTTCTTCTTTTCTCTGAACAGCCAGCCTCACTGACACCCCGCACCCCAGCGACTTTAGACCATGCAGTCCCCGAAGACACAGGCAATCCTGCAGGATAGAACATGGGTGTCCCTCTCCGCGGGAGCTGTCTGCCCGGAGGATCCCCGAGGGTCCATCAGAACATAAAATGTTAAATACCAAAATGGCAAAATCAGTGTTTAAACATTTGTAAGTGCCCAGGAGGAGGTAACAGCTTTTTTGAAGAAGGGTTTTCTTAATGATGGCCAGTGGAAACCATTTAAATTTAATTCTGTCCTCCACCTCCTCCTCCTCTAAGAAACCACTCAATATAATAATTAAGTAACAGAGCAGAACATAAAACCAAGACCTTACCGGGAGAATTTCAAATCCGGGATTATTGATGGGGCCAGCAAAGTAAATCAGCTCTGAAACATACACAAAACAAACATAATGTTACTCGATCATATTAAACAAAAATGATTTGCTCATATTATCTGTGCTCGCTGTGCACCAGGGATCCAGTGATGGAGAGGAAGGTCTCTGTCCACACAGCTGCTCATATTCTGAAGAGGTCACTGACGGCATGTAAATCACTGAATAAGGCAGTACCTGGGTTGTAGAAAGTGCTAGAAGACATGCTGGCTGTGTGAAAGGCAGATGGTGTGATGGTTAAGAGGCCCGGCTGGAGTTGGGCTGCGAGGGGTTCAGTCCTGAGACCGCCTATGATAACCGTTAGATCTGGGATAGTCATTACCTCTTTAGGCGCAGTTTCCTTTTTCAGGATGGGTATAATAATGACGATAACAGTGTCCACTTCCTGTAGCTCTGAGGATTCAAATAATCAACGTAAAGTACTAATAACAATGTCTGGAAAGCACTCAATAATTTGCTAAAATATCCAATGATATTTTATTTTATTTTATTTCAAATGATATTTTGCTAAAATATCAAATGCCATGTTTGGTTGGATGGCTGGCCAGGGGAGGCATCTCTAAGGAGATGATATTTGAGCTAAGCCCTGAGGAGGGGAATGAGGCAACGTTCAGTAGCTCTGATACAAGAATTGAAAGGGTAGATGGTTGGGTATTCTTACTGAGCAAGAATGATAAGGAGAGAAAGTCCAGGCTGTTGGGAATAGACTTCTAAGAAGAGGTCAAGGAAGCTAGGAAGGGTAAGGAAGTAAATGAAGGCAGGGTGGGTTGCTGTAGAAACAGTGGTAGTGTCAGCTGAATGGAGTTTCCATCATTGCTATGAAGGTCCTAAAATGTGCTGGAAGGACATGGTGAAGCCAGAGGGCAGATGTCTTGACACTGAGATTTCAGAAGTGGTGCGTTTACTCGTGATGACAACACACAGAATTGATGTGGGAGGCAGTGGTTGAGGTGGAATGACGGAAAACATTAGTGGAGGTCAAGCTGCTGGGATGTTATGGTGGTGGGTGGGCCATTCATGTCAATATTGAATATTGAAACCATGCCCAGTTCTTCATAGGGATCACTGCTGTCTCTGTGACCCAACGGCTCCCCCAACCCCAGCCCCTTCACATCCCCCATCCCAGCCCCACGCATTTCACACAGTATAAGCACAATATTTAAGAGCACAGCCTCTGGGGTCAGATTGTTCTGGGCTTGAATTTTGGATTTTCTTATTATTAGTCAGCAAGTCACCTGATCTTTTTGTGCCTCAGTTTCCTCAACAGGAAATGAGGTGGGGGTTATAATAATATTCACCTTACAGAGTTGTCATGAGCATCCCATGAGTCAACGCAAGTAAAACTCTTTCCATAGCACCTGGCCCATGGTAAGCAGTCAGTGAGTGTTTGCCATTAATACATTGACCAGTCCACACCATGGGCATCCGCCCAGTGCAGACCAGGCACCATGCATGGTGCTCAATACAATAGTACATGAGAATATAGGCTGTTTCCTTTAGTAGCCTGTGCCTTCTTGTTTGCATGACTCCCAGTACGTTGCAAAGTCTAACACACAGCAGGGTGTAAAATAGGGTTGTTATAGAAGTTGCTGAATGAGTAGATCCAGAGTCAGAACATGGGTTTGCCAACCAACTTCATTCTTGCTTCTGTTATTGTGATCCTCTCCTTGATGGAAAGCTCTGGTCCTGGGCTATGCTGACACAAGACACTGGATTAAGGAATGAGCCATCAGAGCAGCCAGTCTGGTGGCAAGGGTGGAGGGATGGTGGAGGACGATGGAGTTGAATAAATGCTTATTGGTTTATTGATGGCATTAGATACTGAGCTCTTTTAATAGCACAGTGACTTCCTGCCTTACACAGCCTCTGGTGCCTAACCACTGTTCAGGAAACATTTCGAGACTGACTAAACTCTCTCCATGAAAAGGGGCTTTGGGCCAGGGGCAGCATGGTTGGTGCGTGAGCAGCTGCCCACATGGAATCGTATCAGGAGAGTAAGGGTAACCCTTTTTGAAAAAGGCTTCTCCAGGAAATCTGAACCTGAACTTCTACCAGAAGACCCATTCTTAGCATAACCTTTGGCTTCTGTTAAGTGCTCATGCACCCAACATATCTATCCCTCCTTTCCATGGTCAGTTTCTTATACCCTGCAAGGATACTGTGCAAACATGTTGGGTGCCAGATGGACAAAATTCCTATTTCGTTGCACTAAATGAGCCATTTATTTTTTTTTTAAAGATTTTTATTTATTTATTTATTTATTTATTTGACAGAGAGAGAGAGAGAGAGAGAGAACGAGCACAAACAGGGGGAGAGGCAGGCAGATGGAGAGGGAGAGGCAACCTCCAGCTGAACAAGGAGCCCAATTCAGGACTGGATCCCTGGATCCTGGGATCATGACCTGAGCTGAAGGCAGACGTTTAACTGGCTGAGCCACCCAGGCATCCCTGATCCATTTATATTTGAAAGGAAATATATATTTGGTTGTGGATATAAGCAAAAGTTTAATTGGAAACTACTTCTCTGTATGGTGTGGTTTTAGAAATAGAGATGTTGAAGTTCTGGATCTCATCCTTAAGAATCTTCCAGTGCAACTGGGAAAGATACAATGACGAGCTCCACAGAAAGTGAGAAGTGAGAGGTGTACGCAGGTGGTGATTCTGACAAGTGCAGACCACTCAGATGGGGCTGCCTGGGATTCAGTTGTAGTGCTGGTGTTTAAGGGCATAACATTCACGTTATAATCTTTGTGAGTGGTGCCCCCTGCAGTTGTGCTCTGCAGTAGCCCAGCTACTCGTACAACATTCCTTTTTAGGAAATTCTCTCTTCCCCAGTGGATGTTCTCTGACCAAAGCCAGAGCCGTCTGAGCAGGAAGACAAAGAAGAGACCCAGCGCCAATCTATTCTGGCAAGAGAGGATTTGTTTTACTCCGGCTCACCAGCATCCGGGGCTATTTGCTTTCTGCCTGGTGTTGCAGCCTTTGCTCTCTTTCTGTGACTCCGAGATAGCCTTCCAGAAAATCCCTTTGCTTTTGTTGGCAGGAATGGATTTCTGCTGCTCACAACACAAGGACTGTGAATGCTATGGGCATGAACCAGTCCAGATCACTCACGCTGACCCTCAAAGTATGGGACACAGGAGCAGGGCCAGAACCCAAGAACGGGGAGTGAGAATGTCTGCGCACGTCCGGCCTGGCAGGCTTCCCTCGGATACATTTTACCCCTGCTGTATGCTTCTACTGATTGTTCTCAGGTGGCACAGGGCAAATGGGTTGGCCTTGGAGACAGACAGAACTGACTTTAGGACCCAGCTCTGCTATTGGCCAGCTCAGTGTCCATCATGCCAGTTAATTTCTACACTTGAAAGATGGAAATGGGAATTTCTCCCCTGCAGGGTATTGGGTGGACCAGAGAACTGTATGTAAACTTGCTGAGAAGAGTGAGATCCCCAGGAAGGCTAGAGCCATTACTTATTGGTTGTGTTATTATCCACTGAATGAGAAGAAAGGAAAAGTCATCAAAACTCACTTGGATGCTGAGAAACACATCAAGCCTAGGTTTGGAAACCTTTTGGCAGAGGCAACAGCTAGTAAGATCTGTTCGCGTCTTTTGTTTTAAAAAAATAGGTGAGGACAGCTCTTTGAAGAATCACATTAGAATTATCATTCTAATATCCTGTTACGCTCATTTTCTGCTCCAAGGTTTTCGAGTGTGTGTTTCACATGCTTATATCCACAACCAAATTGGGCCGAGAGGTTTTCATTAACTCTGTCTCTCATACTTTACAGTTTCATTTGGAGCTTTTTGGGGGTCCAGGAAGTTTTTGAGAACGGCTGCAGGTAGCTCATGAAACCTTTTTTTTTTTTAACCTAATGAAACAACACCTAAAATTAAATTCTCGCCCCTTCCATTCTTAGATCCTCCCCGATTCCGAGATTCCTTTAATTAACATTCTCACACTCCAGGACTATAAAAAGAGCCCCAGTATATCTGTACCCACTCCTTCCTTTCCTCCATTTGAAATCTTTATCAGTTTTTGGTGTGCTGCGGATTAAAGAAACCCACCTCCCCGGTTCGGAACACATGAAGTCATTTCTGCAAATTGGCTTTGTTTTTGACCCAGATCTTCGTGTGGTTGGCACATAGTGTCTTTTTCAGAAAGGAAATTGATTTTTAAATTGTGGAAATAAAAGGTCCCAAAGGGTTTTGGATTCGATGTGCACGAGGTTCTGGGCTGCCCCCCTGCTCTACAGCCTTTAGTCCTCTTCAGGCAGCACGGACGCCCACTGGAAACGCTCCCTGAACGTGTGGATTCTGTGGGATGCATTCTCCCCATTTCCTAGCCCTTCCTAGTATCTTCCTGCAATTGCCTTCAGTCTTCCAAATTTATTACCTAAATGTCATCAATATTTAAGCACCAGGAGGATGCTCGACAATGTAAAAATGCTTGAGTTGTAATTTATCATAAATAGGGCAATTATTATATTCAGAACAAAGATTTTAAAAATCATCATTTATTTATTTACTCCAGGTTTAAGTCTTTTTCCTACCAGCCAGGCCCAGTGGAAGGGAATTTTGGGGGGAGCTGTGCTCAACTAGGACACAGGCTTCAGCCTGCCCTGCGGTGAGTGGGGGCACCTCAGGAGCTGAGGAGGCCCCTTTAGGGGGCTCCTGTGGGCAGTGGGCCCAGAGCAAAGAGGGAGGAGGAAGAGTGTTCCAAGCAGACTAGGAGCCTTGTCTCTGGAGTGAGAGGGAACAAGCACATTACTTCAATCTTAGTAAGCTCTAAATATAATTTTCACTCTTCTCCCTGCCTCTGGGCATTTCCTTTAAGACACTCAAATCTGGCAGATGGCTAAGACCCGGGCGCTGCTCCTCATCTCCTCCCAGATTTTAGTTCTGCTTTTTTTCAGTCTCTGACCCTGAAGGGTGTAGAAAATGCTTTCTGGTCCCACAGGGCGCTGAACTAGTTGCTGTTTAGGGCTCTCGTTTA